GCGCGCGCGCGCGCCCACACGCGCACTTTCTTGCTTGCTCAACCTCTCTCCCCATTCCTGTTTTCCTCTACCCCACACAGGAAAGAGTAAGTGCTGTACCTTCAAAGACTTCTGATTTTTGGTAAAAGAAAAAAGAAATAAAAATAGACCCTTACAGCCTCCTTGACCAGTTTTCTACTGGATTCGACCACTGCTTCTGTCAGTGTAAATTCTGTTTTAATCATCTCCAGCACATTGATAGCTGATTCCAGTGGTGTGAGCTCAGCCTCCATATCAAAGGAACAGTCTAGGACAAAGCACAGTTTTCATTTTAAGCTCTTTTCTAAGAGCGGAAAAATTATGTCCAAAAAATATATATACTTATGGAAATGAAGCATGCAGATATAGTAAGGTATGCATTTAATTTTTTGACATATTTGCTATAGGTTTACATACACAATAAGGGTCCAAATTCAAATCAATGAATTTAACATGACCATTTTTTAATACCTGTCCAAACAAGCAAAAAAATTATTTTTAAACACATGCATTTGCCTCTCAAATTCAAAATACACCCATCCTCCTCAGACAGGAGCGGCAAGAAACTGACAACAGCTAAACAGCTTTCAAGTTGAATTCAGAGAGGGAAAAATGTACTTCTACTCTGAAAAACACTACCATGGGGAAAAAGATGTCCATATGAACATAAGTCACTTTAGATAGCAGCAAAGTTGGGGTGAGCAATTAACAGGTGGGAGAATATTTTTAAAAACACAGAAAAGCAGCCAAGACAACATTAACCGGAAAAAACAAAAACCAGAAAACAGACCCACTGTAGAATGGAAACGACCACTCTGATGGAAATTCGCGGACTTTAACCTGGAATCCTCCAGTTCCGAATATAAGTTTGAAAACAAAACCCTACGCAAGTAAACCCAGAGAAGAACACAAAAATAGCCATACCTAAATTTTCCCCTTCTTCAATGCGCGACAGACACTGCATAACCCGCAGCAATCGGGACACGGTATGCTCCTTTCCCAAGGGCCTGACAAGCAAAGCTGGGAAAGAAGACATCGTTGGCTGGGCGACCCCCTGTCCCGACCCCGGTATGCCTGGGTCCACTTCCCCGGCGCTCCAACCCCCTTCCCCCGGCCCGGCCCTCACCCTGCATGATGTCCCGGATCTGTCTGAAGTCCCCGTACCGGCTACCCCGAAAGGCCCGCAGCGCCTCGTGGAAGTAGAACTTGAGCACCCAGCGATTGACTGCCTCTTCCAGCCGTGCTTCCCCCGCGCCGCGCTCCGCCGGGCCCCCCAGCCCCGGCTCGTGGCGCCCCCGCCGGGCCCGCCCGCTACTGCGGGACGCCCGCCGGCCCGCCGCCCGCCCGCTGCCGTCGCTGCTCCCGCCTCCTCCAGCCATCGCGTCCGACCGCCGCGCGCCCTCCCCGCCCTCCCGGCCGGGCCGCTTCCTCGGCTGTGACGCCGCCGGGTCACGCACTACGCCCGGGCCGGAAGCAGGGCCCGCCGTCCCGGCTCCCGCGGCCATGATAGGAACAGCGCTCAGAGCCGCCCGCGGGCTTCTGGGAGGGAAAGGACCGGAGGGCCCAGCCCCCTTCTCGGACGCCGTAGTTCCTGTTGTGCCGGCCGCAATGCCTCCTGGGGCGTGAAGTCCACGCCACCCAGACCGGTGAGCCTGGCAGGGTTTGCAGTCAACTTTGTTCTGAATTTACAGAAAACTGATGTTATGCTAGGGATACGGAACTGTGTACTAAAGATTGAAAAACAAGCCGAGTGCGATTGAAAAGCACGCCTGTAATCCCAACACTTTGGGAGGCCGAGGCGGATCACTTGAGGTCGGGAGTTCGAGACCAACCAGCCTGACCAATATGGAGAAACCGCCACTACTAAAAATACAAAATAAGCCGGGCGTGGTGGCGCATACCTGTAATCCCAGCTACTCGGGAGGCTGAGGCAGGAGAATCGCTTGAACCCGGGAGGCGGAGGTTGCGGTGAGCCGAGATGGCGCCATTGCACTGTAGCCTGAACAACAAAGAAAGAAAGAAAGAAAGAAAGAAAAACAAATACGTGCACCTTATTAAGCACTTTGAAAATTGTGAAAAAGAGCACACACAGAGTCAAGTTTTTAAACAAATTTGCATTTTAACAAATACTGTAATTATAAAGTAAAGACCAGTGCAATACCAAGAAATAAAATACACCTCGCACCCCAGGAACCTCTAGGCATATTCTCTTTGTAATCACAAAAATAACGCATTTTGTTGTAGAACAATCAGAAATATAAAAAAAAGGATACCCACAATCCCATAGAGGGTCTAAGTCACTTTCAGTTATCTCTGATGCTCTTGGAATTCACCTACTGGCACTTGACCAAATGGAGAACCTCCAGTTCAGACCTTAGTTCGGGAAGGTAGTTGTGGGTGCCTCCTCCTGAGAGGCCTAATAACTGGTCTAGCTTCAAAGTTTGTCCTACCAGCCCCACTAGACTAGAACTAGCAAAGATCCAGTTTGGGGCCACTCAAAGACAATTCAGAAGGGCAGGTGGGAGTGTCCTTGAGGATGTGAATTTCATGCTAGACCTTGGAATTAATTATACCTAGACCTTAATATGTATAGTATCCTGGTTACCCAGAATTTCCATGTGATACACATTCCAGGATGAGAGAAGAGGCCTCTAGGTCTGACTGATCTTTGGTGATCATGGCTGCTTTTCCATTCCAGCCTGCTTGCCTTAACCAAGAGCCAAATCACCTTTATTTTAATTTTTTTTGAGACGGTTTCACTCTGTAACACAGGCTGGAGTGCAGTGGCGCAGTCATGCTCACTGAAGCCTTGAATTCATGGGCTCAAGTGATCCTCCTACCGGCCTGTGCCACCATGCCTGGGTAATTTGAAAAAATTTTTTGTAGAGTTGAGGGTCTTGCTGTGTTCCCCAGGCTGGTCTTGAATTTCTGGCCTCAAGCAGTCCTCCCACCTTGGTCTCCTAAAGTGCTGGGGATTTCAGGAGTGAGCTACTATGCCTGGTGCCAAATCACCTGCCTTTCAATTCTAACTTTTTTTTTTTTTTTTCTGAGATAGGCTTGCTGTGTTGCCCAGGCTGGAGTGCAGTGGCATGATCTTGGCTCACTGCAACCTCTGCCTCCTGGGTTCAAGTGATTCTTCTGCCTCAGCCTCCCTAGTAGCTGGGATTACAGGCGTGTGCCGTCACACCTGGCTAATTTTTGTATTTTTAGTAGAGACAGGGTTTCACCATGTTGGCCAGGCTAGCCTTGAGCTCCTGGCCTCAAGTGACCTGCCTGCCTCGTCCTCCCAAAGTGCTGGGATTACAGGCGTGAGCCACTTTGCCCGGCCTATTGTAAATCTTCTACTTGCTAGCTGTGTAACCTTGAGCAAATCACTTCACTGTCCATGTGCCTCTGTTAACACATCTATCAAGCACAAATGATGAAGGTACCTCTTGGAAATCATATGACAAGTCAATGAATTGCTATTTACATGCCTTTAGTGAAGGATTCAGCTTGTGGTGAGGGCTCAGTAAGTGTAAGCTGTTTTTTGTTTGTTTGTTTTTGTTTTTTTGAGACAGAGTCTCATTCTGTCCCCCAAGCTGGAGTGCAGTGGCGTGATCTCAGCTCACTGCAACCTCTGCCTCCCGGGTTCAAGCAATTTTCCTGTCTCAGCCTCCCAAGTCTCAAAAAAAAAAAAAACGAAAAAAAAAAATCTGTACAACCTTTCTAAAGAGCAACCCAGAAAAAAACCCATCAACAACCATAAAAATCCCATTGTTAAGAAAGTCATTGTGCAGGAATAGTCACCAATGAGCAACAAGATGTAAGTACAAGGATTTTTATCACATCATCACATCATTACTTATAAAGTAGAAAAAACTAGAACTAAAAAGATCTGAAAATAAAATTATTAAGTAAATCATGGTTTGTTCATATTAAGAATTTTATTCTGTTACTAAGATTTTCTAGCCAGGCACAGTGCTCCCGGCACTTTGGGAGGCCAAGGTAGGTGAATCGCCTGAGGTCAGGAAGTCGAGACCAGCCTGACCAACATGGCAAAACCCATCTCTACTAAAAATACAAAAATTAGCTGGGAATGGTGGTGCACACCTGTAATCCCAGCTACTGAGGAGGCTGAGGCATGAGAATCACTTGAACCCGGGAGGTGGAGGCTGCAGTGAGCCAAGATCCTGCCACTGCTTTCCAGCCTGGGTAACAGAAGGAGATTCTGTCTCAAAAATAATAATAAAATAAAGATTTTCTCCTCTCAATAAGAATAAATACATAACTATGTACTCTAAGATTATTTTATGCTTAAGATATAATAAGGGGAAAAAGTTCCTTCAGCACCACCGGGAAAAAAAAAAAAAAAAAAAAAAAAAAAAGAAAAGAGAAAAAGGAAACATAAATAGTGTAACCACACATTTATGGGAATGACAATTATATAAAATATATTTTTTGCCAGGTGTGGTGGCTCATACCTAGAATCCCATCACTTCGGAAGGCCAAAGCAGGAGGATTCCTTGAGGTCAGGAGTTCAAGACAAGCGTGAGCAACATAGCAAGACCCTGTCTCTATAAAAAAATTAAAAAATTATCTAGGCATGGTGGTGGCTTGTAGTCCTAGCTGCTTGAGAAGCTGAGGCAGGCAGATTGCTTGAGCCCAGAAATTTGAGGTTACAGTGAGCTATGATTGTGCCGCTGCACTCCAGCCTGGGTAACAGAGCAAAACCCTATCTTACACACACACACACACACACACACACACACACACACACACACACACACGGGGAGAGAGAGAGAGCATTTATTATATACCACTTACTGTGCTAGGGTGCTTTACGTCTTTTATTTCATTTAGTCTGCACTGAAATTCTACAAAAGAGGTATTACTGTGCCAGTTTTTGTTTTATTTTGAGACAGAGTCTCTCTCTGTTGCCCAGGCTAGAGTGCAGTGGCACAATCTCAATTCACTGTAGCCTTCACCTTCCAGGTTCAAGTGTGTCTCCTGTCACAGCCCCACCCCATACACCAACCCAGTAGTTGGTACCACGGGTGTGTGCCACTGCACCCGGCTAATTTATGTATATTTTGTAGAGATGAGGTTTTGCCATGTTAACCAGTCTGGTTTTGAACTCTTGGACTTAAGTGATCCATCTACCTGGGCCTCTCAAAGTGCTGGGATTATAGGCATGAGCCACACCCAGACACTGTGCCAGTTTTAGAGAAGAATAAACTGAGGCTTTAGAGAGTTAAGTGACTCGCCCAACCTGCCTGAATCAGATTTTAAATCCAGATCTGTTTGATATTAACCGAGATAGAATGACAGAGATTGGGTTAGTTTTGTCTGTTCTTGAACTTCACGGAAACAGAATCGTACACTAGATACTGTTTGCATCTGACTTCTGCATAACCGTTTTGGAGATTCATCCATATGTTCCTTTTTATAGTTGAGTAGTATTCCATTGTATAAAAATCCACAATTTATTCACCCATTCTCCTGTTGATAGACACGGGTTGTTGCAACCTCAACCTCCTGGACTCAAGGAATTCTCCTGCTTCAGCCTCCTGAAGTGCTGGGATTACAGGCATGAGCCACTGCACCTGGCTGAATCTATCATTTTCTTTCATCATGAGTGCTGTTAGTGGTTTGTTTAATAAATCCTTTCTTATTTAGAAGTCATGAAAATATTATCTTATGTTTTCTTCTAAAAAGTTGTAGGTTTTTGCCTTTCACATATTAGTTTTTGTCCACCTGAATTTGATGTTTGCAAATGGTATGAAGCAGAGTCCAATTTCATTTTCTTTCTATATAGGTACTCAGCTATTCTAGCACCATTTATTAAAAATATGTCTTTTCCTTACTCTCTGTAAGGCTATCTTTGTAACATATATGTGTAGACTTGTTTCTAGGGACATACAGTTTTTCAAAATTATTTGATGGAACATGCAAGTAAAAAAGTGTGAAGAAATCACGCAATTAAACAAACTGTGTGGCTTTTATCTGGTTATTTAACTTCTCTGCGTTTTCTGCACTGTTGGTTGGGAGCATCAGATGGGACCATGCAGTAAAGCAGCTAGGAGACATTTTACGTGGTAAATCTCTGGGAGCAGAGGTAGTGTCTTTTTTCTTTTGTTGTTATATTTCAAGTGTCATGCAGTACATGGAAACAACACCCACTTGTGACAGGAGCTGCCTGGGAAACAGCTCAGAGGATGTGACATTTGGGTGGGTCATGAATGATGGTGAAATCTGTCATCTCTTTTTATGAATGTCATTTGTTGGCTGTCCATGGCGCATTTTGCATATGGGTTTTATCTGCAT